ATCAGGATGGTCCAATTCACCTCGCCAAACCACCGAGACGTTCCCTTCGGTTTCCGACGCTTCACAATTATCGCCGCATCAATTAGCCAGACGAATTGACAGCGACGCACCCGTTTCCCGGTGCCGGTAACCGCGTAATTCGCGAATCCGTGCGCCGCGGAAGCACGTCCGCGCGAATTTCGTACGGGTTAAAATTTACAGCGGCGTGTGCCAACCTGCTCGCGAGGGAATATAGGAACCCTCTTCGAACCAGGAATTCGATGTAGACCGAACGTGAGCACAGGAAATCGAAATGATGAAGATCTAAATGGAACAAAAATAGAGCAAGCGTTTCAGTTTTAATTGGAGCTTCACTCTGAAACTTAGGGGTGAAAGGCCTCGTTGGTTGCACTGTTTAGGATTTGGCAAACATTTATATAAACAAGAACTCGATGTGAATCGAAATCGAGTATAAGGAATGGAGATGATGAAGAACTACATGAAAAATAGTGGGGTGAAGGCTCCAGGCTTCATTAGAGTAAACGTCGAGTAGACAATCGATTAATAACAGCATGTGCGTCTGCATTATCGAGAATGGCGGAACAGTGACGGATGAAAAATATATTAAACCGCGAGTTACGCGACCTAAGGCGCTATATCGACTATGTGTTCCCCCTGCGTGAAACATGGTGCTGTCGTGTCGTAATGCAAAGAAAAATACGACGTATAACGTCATGTTATACGGCGAATTTTTCTCCACACGGTGGCACTGTAAAGCAAATTTTTCTCTGTAATATACCACGAAAACCTCGAGGATATTTCATACGCCAAGCGCAGTTATCGAGGAGTTTCGATACGCGTCGTATTCAGTTACCGTGAAATCGATGCATATTGAAAACTGCGAATATTTCTAAAGGTGTTTCCCAGAGGTTTGAAGCACCGTCGACGTGCACCCGTAAAACGAAGTTCATACACCTCTGGAAGACAATTGTTGGGTCTACCACACCCTCCTAAACTCGAAGACAACCCGAGAAGTTCCAAACAATAGATCCACTCCGAGTCGGTTCTAAACGTTTGGTAGAGACTTCCAAACATAAATCTTGCACCATCGTCACTACCCACGAAGTCTCTAACGAAATCACTAATCAGACGAACAATTCGGTAACTATCTTCATATTTAAATAAATATTGTGCTGCAATTACGATTTAATGCAGCGAGTGTCACTTCGAATCATTTGTAAAATATTTTTAAGCATCCAAAATCAAATAAAATAAACGTATCCGTAACAGGGGCGCGTAACATATGCTTTTTCGTTAGTAGGAGCAAATTCAATTTAGTTTGGAAAAATTCATTCATCAACGCGATGTTTATTCATTCTACGTTTCAGCCTTACGTGGCCCTCTCCGCAAATAAATGAATAAACATGGTCTTCTAGATACAATGTTCGCAAATTAAATTGTATCAAATCCCCCAAACAGCGACTGTCCCGAGTAGAACGTGAAACATTAAATCAGTAAACAAACGAAAATGGAAGCAACGAGAATGCATCTCGAAAATTTATCTCGAGTTTTCCAACGAGCGTTTCATCGTGCGAGTTTTTAATCATCGAACGAGGCAATCGTTCCGCCATAAATCTGCCGAGACGTTACACGTTTCTCCTCCATGTGAACATGGCGAGGAAAGTCAGATAAGCCCCTCGAGCTGGCCACTAGCCAATAATTCGTGTAAACGCTTGCTTTCGAAAAACGTTGAAGAACGGCAACGACTGAGAGATCCACAGTTCCCAGCCGACGAGAGAATCTAACAGGCAAACGCTCAAACCGGATGAAAGATGCATGAGACTTTTCTCACGCATCTGTCGAGATATGCTGGCACGAATCCAAGTTGCTTTATTCGACCAGCAGTTTGATGTATGGAAATGTATCGTCGGGCAACAACCTCGATAGATCTCCCGGGATACGTGTTCGTCGGTCGCCCTTGAAGGCGTAACCGAGCATAGCCTTCAACACATTGTTCAGCACCGTTTTGGGGCAGCGAGCTGTGAATTCATCGAGGTTATGCGATGCAGTGAGTACTTGTTCTGTGGAGATTTAAAAATTTTTTAAGTGCGGCTCGTGTTGTCACAAAAATAATAATCGTTATAAAAGATGAAAGTTCATTCGATAGTGGAATGTCCATGGCCTTGGTCAGACATCAGGAAGAGCAAAAAATACAAGAAAAGGAATCGCAAACTTGAAAATTCACTCTTTCTGTTTATAGTCACAATACTCAGCTTCATACCCCACAATAAGTAGAAACTGGACGTTCCTAGTCAGACAGTACTAAAACTATGTAGAAAGTATAAGAAGAGAAATCCCTAACTTGAAGTCTACTTCTATTTTTAATCACAATAGCAACCTTCTCAGCCCAAAATAAGTAGAAAGTGTCCAACTGAGACATCAAGAAAAAAAGACAAGCAGAAGAATATCCAAGTGGATCGAGAAGCTTCCCCCAAAAGTTGCATCGATCTTATCGAGGGACCCGCGAATTTTAACTTCTCCCAAAGTTCCGTTTCTCTTTCGCTGTTTCTGTTATCTTCTTCCCTCCTCCCACGCAACGTATGCACGTATCTACGTTTTTCTTTTATCGTTTGCCACACGTTACGAGAGTCGAGATAACGCGGCTCGATTCTTCGAATTCAACCGGAGAGCTGTTACATTCCGTAGCTAAAGCTTCGCAGGGCTCTTTGGAACTCTTGGAAACCGTTTATTACTAAATCTGGCGACGGAGTTCTTACCAGGGAAGCGTTATAGGGTGCAATCGAGAAACGGATGGGCTAACTTGTACAAGGGATTCCTGTTGCATTACGCGTCTGCAATCTGTGAATTCCAGTTGCATTGCGCGTCTCCAATTTGTAGATTCTCGTTTGCATAATCCCGTCCGCCTTGGTGACGCTTTGGTCACTGAGCTGTGGCTGTTATTGGGAGAATATATTGTTAGGCGATAAACGAGAATGCGCCTTCTACGATGGAGGAAGAGTGGATTAGATCGTAGTTACCTCGAGATAGACTCGGTAAAAAATAATACTTTGGAATAATATTTAAACATATCTAGGAGTAAATTTACTGGAAATAAAATAACCATGATACGTTTAGAAAATTATTTCACAGTTAATCCTCGTGAGTTGAAAAACTCAAAATATCTCGGAAGGTTTGAGATAACCGTAAAAAAATTATTACACCATGCGTACACAGTGCACCAAGTGCTACACAGACAATTTATAAAGAAAACAAAGTCGACTTTCCTATCATGTTATAATATCACAAGAATTTAATGAAAATTTTAGGAAAATTCTGAAGCCTGTATCGAACGTAATACACATTTTAGGACCCAGCGTGTCCAACCCAAATGTCCCGTTTGTCGAGTATCTCCGCGCGACGAAACTGGTCCACGAATAATTAAAAAAAGGCCGAATTGCTTTCGACGCGAAAGCTTCCGAGCGCGTCGAAGTGAGATGTTATTTTTTTTTTTTTTAAACCTCTCCGAGCAGTAAAAGTGGGCGACAGTGTCACCAGCTGTTCTGACATCTCCCCGTGACTTTTCTGGCATTTTCCCGCTGCGCGAAAAAGTGAATTTATGGCTTGTTCCATTGGCGAGCGAAAAAGCCAACGTTAACGAGGGCAGCGCTTTGTCAAACCCTCGCTCGCCATACTTTGCATTCAGTAATGTCGAGCTGATTCGAAATAGCGAATGCTTTTCAAAAAAAATCGCACGCATTCGCGAAAACTTCCAGTGGAAACTAATGAAAAATTTCCAAGAAAAAAAAAATAGCAGCGCGCTCGTTGGCATTTTCTGCTCCAACGATCAAGCCATCTAGAAGAAAATCTCGTGTCGCGCATGCACGCCTGGTAATATCCCAAGGTGATGCAGGAAATAATTTTATAGTTGCCAGTCGCATAACTTCGTTGCTTTAATTACGTCTACAATGTTTCATATACGTGTATGTATTGAAGGAAATATGCGAAGAAGTTCCACTCGTATCGACTAAAATTCGAACAATGTCGGCCAAGATACTGAGCATACTCTAGTGTCTTTATTAAGTTAGGTGGGGAAATGTATTTACATATTTAACTTAAAATTACGTGGGTGATTGCTTGCGGAAAGACAAATAGAAACTTGTTTAAATAAACAGGTGTACTTAAATATTCCGACCCTGCCTTTCAAGTTCTCTCTAATAATGTCGATACACGGGTGGTATACGAGTCAAGCCATTCGAGTATATTTAAATGCATGCCAGCAGACTAGTTTTGAGCCAGACTGCTCGAGAGGAACTAGTTTTCAGCGTCGATGGAGGCGACAGGGTGTACTAATTCGGAGTAAACGAGGCTCGACGCTCGTCACGAAAGCAGCAACGGCGCGAAACCAACCTTATCGCTGCCAGGAAAGCGTCTTTCAGTCGAATAGAACCTACTCGAGTATCACGGTAAGTGGGCAGACACGTGCGTAAGCGTGGCGAATGTTAGCGCTTCCGGTTCGTCATCGGCGATTCGAGAGTGTAAATGGTCGTAAGTGGTTGTTCTACGCCGAATCGATCACTTTCTGCGCTCGAGGTCAAGGATTTCATGATGTTCACGAGAAATTCGAAGGAGTTTAAGTCGTCATTCCAGTAGATTAAAATCCGTTTATGATCATCGGGACTTTGAATATCAAGTTTGCCATTTGTATGTATATTTGTCCAAAGAGGTTTTTTGTATTTCAAACAAGAAAGATTGGACTTTTGGAGCATATTTTTTTCAAGAATCACAGAGAGATTCTTAACAACGTGAAAATTAGAAATAAATGTAGATTTAACCTCTATACTTTTAACAAATTTGAAACCAGCGAAATGGAGTGGATCGCATCATGTTTGGCTGTTACAAAAATCCCTGTCCTCGAGTCGAGATAGTGATCAATGTGGCATGGAATGACCAGGATGATTCGTCAATTAGCACCGATCGAGCGAATCAGGATACGCTGGAGTAGAATCTGTTCGTCTACTCACCGTCGTCGAGGCGCTGGAACTTCTGTGTTGCTTCACAGGCGGACTTCCCTGCACGGCTTGTATGTCGGTGCTTAATTGACGGTTTACAACGACCGGCTGAAGGTGCTGTACCGTTGGTTCTATGTCGAGGTAGCAATGAGCCTCTAAATGGCTCTGGGCTCTCCTCTCCTCCAGGACTATCTTGCGGGCAGCGCAGAATATCCTGTAGTATACCTGGGACAAAATGGAATGCGAGTTCACCGTGGGTTTCTGAAGTAATTCACGTGCTTCATTATGCTCTCTAGGCCTTTGTTTGTGTTTGTGGGCATTCTTCTTGCTTAGAGTTGCAACGTTTCGAATGAGGGCTTTGTTAACGTTTCTGGCTCAAACAATAGACCCGCATTCTTAATTAATCATAAGGTAACAGACCTGTGAATTGTTTTCAACTTTGAGTTATCAATTACACTAAGGTTCAGCTTTCCAATTTAAATATTTATAACTGCTTTATAACCACCTACAAATTTTTCCGAATTTATAATTTATAAAAATGGACTCAATAACTGTCTAGTTCACGAATGAAAGCAATAACAAAACCATTTTCCTTTAAAAAACTATAATTCATGTTTTCTAAATTATGACGCGCATTCCTAGACACGTGCCGCGGCGATCGTTAAAATCCACCACGTTTCTGATCGTCGGCGTCGGCTTTTCGATTAATTGGACGTTTCGCGCGCGACACACAAACCCATGAAAATAATTGGCGGGAACGTGGCATAACTCGGTTTGAAAATAAACGACCGTGCACGCTCTGTCGCGGTTCGCGCGAACGCTACGCGAATTGACATAATACCAGTTAAATAATTGCCAACCTGGAAAATCATCGTTCGTCGGTGACCGCGGGGTCGCTTTTGTCGCTAGGCGATGCTTTAATTAATGCAGTAAAATGTATCATGATGCTTGTTTGTCGCCAAGGCAGCAGAATGTAAATTTGTTCCTTTGATCGTTTGCAAATTGCGTGGCAACGTGATGCGAAACCTCATTAATAACAGGAATTTGAGAGGTAATGGGACTCCTAGAAAATCTTTTCAACGTAAGTTACCAGCTAATTAAATACTGTAAGACATCCATTGTCTGGATTAAAGTGAACCATTAGAATTAATAATATGTACCCAGTATACAATGGTTACAAGTGAATATAGTATGTAATTTTATTAAATAATGAAAAGTCAGGTGAATATGTGAGCAATTATAATATTCAATGTTTCGTAAATCAAATAGCAATTAGATCATTGTTAACTGTTTTCTCCTCAAAGGAAACTCGCTGTGGCTTTTGCAAAATAATTTCTCCGTTCTGATTTCGCAAGATGAAGTATCCCACCGTGTCGATATAGCATAATCGTTCCCATGAAGTTCTGTACGCAACAAACGCCAATTAGTTCAGTGTCTGTGCGATAATTCAACGAAAACTCTGTCGGAGGAATGAATAATTTTTACGTAATTATGGAAGCGATCCAATTATGCGAAGGGCGGATAGTCGCCGGGCAATTCCGTCGATATCGGTTCTAATTAATTCAGCAAGAGATTGCTCAATTAATTAAACGAATTCGGCTCCAAGAAATTCCATACTACGTGACTTCATCTTACTCGACTATCCTACAAATATTCAACAAATTAGTATTTTATATTTTAACAGGACAGAAGTTGAATAGCTAACATATTATACTTGTTTATTTTGTAAGATGCGGTGGATTCGTCGACACAAATATTTATAAAATTTTCAAGAAAGCAATTACATCTGTTTGTGCTTCTAAATATAGGAATATTAATAAATAGGGACCCTCGAGGGCTCTAGTTACGAAAAGGCAGGGGTTGACTGAAATTTCATTAGTTTCACGATAGCTTCGTCCTCGGAGCTAACGTTAGGCATCATAATCATCATTCTCGCTGATCCATGAACGATCCACTCGATAACTCGATAGACTTCCTCCCGCATTAATCAAGTTTCGCGAAATCGAGATAACCAACTTTGTTGTCGGTCGGTATATCATATTATTAAATTTCGATAGTCACCCAATGAGTTCATAGCGCCACCATCTCCATTAACTCGATAAAGCCAGTTGGAGAAGCTTGCTCGAAACAAGCGCATCTCGCAGCTCGAGTTGTTACAGCTTTCTACACGCTACCTCGCGTCGTTATGCGAGGGAATTTGAGACGTAAAACACGATAGTTTCGGAACGATCGCGGGACAAAGTTTGGGGCGAACTTAAATTTCCAACAGGGTCCTAGATGATATCTCGGTCCTCCAGGAACGTCTTCGAAGAGAAATGCATTAATTCGCGTCAGGTATTAAACGTGACGTTGGAAACAGGGACGAGATGGGACTTTCGGATTTAAATTTGAGAACTGTTTTGAATTTCCACTGGGACCACTTTAAACTTCAAGCTAAGAACGCTTTGAAATCTACACCGTGGACTCCAATTTCGGGATACGTTGAATGCTTTGTGTCCTGTACACGGCGTTCAAGTTCTGGCAGGGGTGTGGAGAGCATTTTCTGTTGTACAGTAACACGCTTAGGTGTATAGTTTAATCAGCTTTAGTATTAACAGATAGGGGAAGATGCTTCTCTTAGCTCTCATGTTATAGACTTCTATGTGTCCGTGAATTTTCATGTTTCATTATAAAAATGAATAAAATAATGATGGTATGAGACAGAGAATTTTTGGGAAATTTTCAACTGTGATATTGAACCACTAGCCACTCAGTTCTGTAAAGAGAGGAATCAGTTTTGGAGCAAGCCAATTTTTACAATCGCCACTTTCATCGAAATCGGTGTATTAAATAACCCGAAGACGACCTAAAAAGGTAGTCCAATAAAACCGATACACTTTCATCCCAATAATAGATTGTTCAGACTGTCCTCGTTTAATATCAATCGTAATTTAAAACATGATTACGAGCCCAAACGGTATTTGCGTTTTATCGAATATACATTGCCATTAACGACACTGGCGATATAATGCCTCTTCTCTTTCAAGATTACACTCTTCGAAAATGTACACACCTGTCGGATCGATAGGCGACCCATTGCTGTGCACAATGATGGATCCGTGGTGAGCCTACCTGGATCATGACGACGAGGGGAAAGTAGAAGCTGCCCACGGTGGCGTAAATCTGATAGAAGAAATTTTGGCAGACGACGCAGTGCGACGGCCCAGTCTCGGAGTAGGTGTGCTCGTTCCCCATTATCAGCAACGGCGGTAGGCTAATGCAGCCAGCTGCTAACCAGACCAGGCTGACGTAGATGATCATCCGTCGCGGCGTCCTCTTCACCCCGTATTTTAGTGGCTCGGTTATGGCACGGTATCTGCGACAAAACGCGGTTCTTCGCACGCTATCGATCGATAAAGTGAGGAACGACGACCAACCGAGGTGATATAATAGTCTGATACTAGAATAACTAGAGGATTTTTGATATTTTTTTAAAAGGAAACTAACGAGGGTTCAATTTGAATCGCTTTAAAATTCACTTGTGTTGTCCTCTTCTTTAGTTTTCAATAAGCTGTGGATGTTTATATATTTATGACGAATGTAAATAGATATATAAAATATAAAAAATAGGTATAGTATATAGAATAAGATATATAAAAATAGAATAGAGTACCCATCTAGAAGTCAGAACATCCCTTAATTTAAGTTTCCATTTCTTATTTATGTATGGACTAATAATAATACCCACGTTACCCTGGTTAGAAGATAGGACGCACTGCTATTCAAGATTCTACACGTCAATTAACGATCATTGGAAAATATTAATACCTTGGATATCCAGGGAGAGATTACTTACCGATCGACGGAGATCATGCAGAGGTTGAGGATGCTTGCCGTGCAGCTGAGCACGTCGAAGCTAACCCAAACGTCGCACATAAACGCGCCGAAGGACCAATTACCGGAAATCTCGTACAGCAACGCCATCGGCATTACCAGAAGCGCAACGCAGAGATCGCTAACTGCCAGGCTCACCAGCAGATAGTTGCAGGGTCTTCGCAGCTTCCTAACGAGGAACACGGCGACGCAGACCAGAATGTTCCCGATCACGGTCCCGACGATTATGCTACCAAGCACCAGGGCGATGAGTATTGCCTGCGGGGGAAAATTGGAAAACGTTGGACGGTTTTTCCATCGCCTCGACTTTCGTTGGAAAGAACTGGCGAATTGTTTTCCGATGCCAATGGGACAAAAACCGCGGAATTAGGGGTGTCGACGTTCGATCGTTTTATTATTATGTCATTGATGCGAAGGATAATGTTTATGTTTAATAGGAAAAAATTTGTTTTGTAGCTTGATGTTGCTTAGTCGAAAAATTTAAATTAGTTCTTGAACGATTTCGTGACTTTGAAGATCAAAAGGAAACGATCAAAAATGAAACAGTGTATCACTTTCAGAAAATATTCCAGACTCGTCAGTGGAAGATAGTAGGCTCAACGACAATAGCTAGATACAACGAATGCAGTTGGCACGCCAGACTCTTTGATCTACATGCAAATGCACCAGTCGTGAGTGCAGCTGGAATGTAATTTTCTGTAATGACGCTAAGTGGTTGAGTGGATCTCGCAAAGTACGTGATGAAATCGGAGTCAAAAACTTTCGTGATTCAGCTCACGGCAGACTTGATCGAGTGAAAAAAATACATGATATCAAATTGTAAATTACAGTTTTTTCCTGATCATATTTTCGAGCGAGAACCAGGAAAGAATTTTTATTTGAACATAAGAGTGTATTGTTAATAACTATGAAAAAAAAAACGTTTGGGGTCCTAAATTTTTGGAAAAAGTGTGACAAGTTTGGCTCGTCGATAACTGAAGAGGGCCACAGTACCCAGGCCACAGTAAAAAATCCTCAAATAGTGCATGCACAGTTAAATGGTAATCATTAGTACATGCACTCGCTGATACCAACCAATTACACGTGGCGCTTGCGCGAAATCATTTGTAGAGGCAAACAATTACGATTTTTGGGCATTCGTATGTGGAATCGTTCCGTTCGGTGTTTTTCTACCAATGCACGCTTTCGTCGTTACTTGATCCGCAGTTATCGCGAATTTTTGCACGCCTGCAGCAGTGGAATGCTAACGAATAAGCGAGGCGAACGAGTCGGAATTGTTTTCGTATTGAACGACCGTGTGCATCCCTTCCCCCGCGAAACAGAGTTATCTGATTCAACCACTGTCTGTAAACACACTTATTATTGCGTTCACGGTGAGCAACGATCGAACGAACGTACATTTTGTCCCGCGTGGGATATCAAGTGGCATTTAATCATTACAAGACTCGAAACTATGAAAATGTTGCTATTGGAAAAGAGTTACATTACAGGAGTTGTTGCTGGACACTGCTGAGACATTGTCAGACCTTGTTACTCAGTGATTTTTCTCTAGGGGAAATCTACGAAGTAGTTTAATCTATAATTACGCTGACATGGAGCTTTCCCCTAAAAATATTCTTTGTACAGCAAAAAGAAAAAAAAAAGAAAAATTACAAACATAAAATTTGCAAATCCCTCGAACCTTTACGTTAGCCATTAAGCAATTTCTGGGGCTAGTGAATGTGTGTCGCTCCAATTTTCTGAGAACTTGCTTGCGGAAACGATTCAACGAATAAGCCGGAAGCTTCAAAGCGGCGGATTACAATGGAATTATCGCCGTAATTAAATTGGCTGCCATGCAAAGCGTGCAATTTAATTCGAGATAATCTTTTGCGCCGAGTATTTCGATACGACTGTGTCCGTATTATATTCTCACCGTGGCTGATTCCACGGGGTGGACATTTTCGCTGCAAAAATTACGACGTTGTCGCGACGCTTGTGTACATGAATCATTGGATTTGGGTATTATTACACATCGAATAATCGCGGAATCTGCATCGGTGAAATCAAAAAATAAATAGCATCGCCAAAGAATAATAGCGATGTTGGAAAACTTTCAAGATAACTCGATCCTCGACGTAATTTATTACAGATCTAAGCGTAATAATCGATAAATTCTTGGGGACGTTATATTATTATAATTCATTTATTATAGTGTAAAACAGAATAGAACGCACAATGGATTGAAAACGTTTTAACACCGAATTAATGCTAACTGGCTAAACGCGCGAATTATGGCGAAATCGTTTTAGCACTGAATAAATGCACAATAGTTGAAAACGCGAATTATGGCGAAAGCGCTTTAATACCGAGTAAATGCACGCAGTGGCTAAAACGACGAATGATGGTAACGGACTTTTATTCACACGAGTCATCTGGAATAATGTGTCTAACTCGAATATTTTAGAGTAATAGAAAGCTATCGGGGATCGAGTATCGAAGCTGTCCCGTGAAAGACGCGAGAATCATATATTTATTAGCGACGCGTGAATATTGAACGTGCGCCAACATGATGAGCAAATAACCTACTTTACCAATGCATGATTCAAGCATACGCGCGCTCGATATTAGCCACGACAAAAGAGTGCTTTGTGTGTGCTTCTATCATTGAATACGGCTGACAATGAGCCAAAATTATCGACCATTAACAGTTCCAATAATTCCCATTTCGGTTTATCCCACTAAATCATTCCGTTGGTAGCGCGCGATAACTAATAATCTTGGTTTTTCGCTAACGTGCACGGTAAAACGAACGGATGGGTATCGTCGTTTATTTCTGATGAAGCACAGAATATAATTGTAAATGTTACAGAAATTGTTGTAATAATAGGTTTGGAATAAAAAATATAAGCATGAAAATATAAACCAGATTATTAAAGTATGTGATAGATGAAACTACGTAATATAAAATTCATAGGTTTATTAGAACCATTGTGTAAATGAAACGAGTAAAAAGATAATATATCACCACGGGTAAACGTGTCCTTAATTTAAGTGAGCTATGCTCGCCTGTAATTCAAGATAATCCGAAAGATAAAAAAGTTCTGGAAGTGAAATTATGAGGATTAGTATTTAAAAATTAGAATTATAACCAACAATTAATGTCAAGATTAAATCGTGGAGACGAAATATTATTTTATTATATTTTGGTAAAAAGGGCTTTTACGTTATCATCTTTAAAATATGTTTCCATAATGACATAAAATTAAGTCACGGTGTAATGTTACGTAACGCACTCTCTATAGGTCTGTTGTTTATCGACTTAATTTTGTTAATACTTCCACGTTTGCAAGAAGACACAACACCGAATGGAAACGTACGGAGTATAATTGAGATACGCACACTTTAGCTATCGATTTGTATTCCATTCCTCGATTACCGCTCGTCCCACCTCAAAACCAATCATTCATACAAACCGTTTGTAATGCTTTTGATATTCATGCGATATCCACAAATTCGATCGTTACCAAAACGAACCTTTTTACTTCGTTCATTCAACGAAATTATATAATCAGATCACGCGATCTGCCAAACAGTGGGTGACAAACGGGTGCACTTTAATTGCGTTTGCGATAATACCGACGTACATGGCAAATTTTGCGATAATCCGTCGAATATCTAATCGGCTCAATGGTTGGAAAAACGATTTCAATATTTGGCAGTCGTTTAAAACCGTCCAATAAACCGAGTACAGGTTTGTTTATCTTTTCACTGCTGAATTAGCGGCAGGAAAATCGTATGTACCGAATTCATTTCGCAGTTTGTATATCGTTTATTTTAACTTTGTTAATACCGTTCTCTATAGACATCAACATTCTTCAATAAAAATTGGCCTAAATACTGATAAACATATGTACTTTGAATACACATATCAAGCATTCATATCAGACATTCAGTATAGTCAGCTCTTTGATCTCTAAAGATGGCAATTTTCTTTAACCATGTTTTGTTCTCTGCGCCATTCCCAGAATAATTATGCAAAAAATGCGTCATTGAAGCCTGCGACAAAAGGAACTAATTAAGAACTTCAACAGCGCCTAACTTTGATCGAACACAATAGATTATGTTCGGTCGCATCATAATGGAACTCTGAAGTAGATTAAGAGTGCTAGGGTCAGACACTGCGCGACACACGCTGCGCTTCGGTCGAGTTGCTCGGTTTTTTCAAGGGAATTTCAACGAGACAGAAATGAAAACGACGTTTGAAAGAAACGAATGAGATCCGCGACCCTGGCACAGGAAAGGTATAAATAAATGGACAGAGAGTGAGCTTTGTGAGCATTGTGTGACATAAATTCCCAGGTTTCAGATCCTTGCACTCCGAAGCGTATAAGTTACCCATTTAACCTCTTCAGGGATGCTGGCACATACGTACGTGTACGTATAGTGTTTAATAAAGACGGGTTTCGGGTCGTGCAGCCAGTTTAATTTATATTCATTGACCATGAATATAGATTAAACTGCTCGCACGAGTGAAATTAAATTTTATTATTTAAGATATTGGCGAGCATGCAAGATTAATGGGGTGAAGGCTCTTAGAGAGTGTTTTGTACTAGAAGTATCACTTAAAAAATCGTTTGAAATGTTCCTATGTATAGTATTTAGTTTGTTAATGCATTTAATTATCGTGATTTTACTTAGTTAACGAGCTATCGTAATTTTATTTCATTTCTCAATGATAATAGCTGTTTGAAACTTCGTTTATTTCGAATGAAATAGTTCCTGAATAGTCAGAAAATAAACAGAAAATGTCTTTTATTGTAGAGAAACCATAATCAGTCCATCTGTACATTTGTCAATAACTACTGCAACTTTCTTTTTATATTTACTCGAATAATACTCGAACAAGAGTTATTACAAACTTCCGTTTCGCCAGTAAGGAATTGCTTCCTTCAAACTTCCGTAACGCCACTGTTGGACTAAACTAATTATATACTTATCGTTAACAACGCGACTCTCGAAGTTCCAACCGCGGGAACTTTGTCGACGCTCGACGTCTCCTTATTGCAGACAAACCCGATATAATTATTCATGGTCTTTACGATAATCTTCGGTGAATGATTTCCAGTGTAATATCGGCATCTATAATGACCGAAGTTACGTTAACTTGAATGGGTTTCGGTATGATCCATTGGGATCGGAACAGGTTTCCAGCTAAGGCGTGTGTGAGTTTGCTTAGAGTACCTCGACTAACTTTATAGAAAAGACAGCAATATTGATGTATAATGATCGTGATTGTATTTGGACGAAGAAAACATACGAGAGTAAGAGTTTCATCACGATAAAAATAGTTGGAAATGAATAATTGATAAAAATGTTTCTTCATGCATAACTTCTCTATTTATTTTTAATACACTGTCATTCCAAAAATGTCACTTTTTGTAGCCATGGATTACTAGAATTTAACATCACAGGGGTTCCAAGCCGAAGCCCTTTTCCGATAAATTAATAATTCTTCACGAGGAAAAAATCCCTCTCGAAATACACGGAAACAAATTTCCAAAGTTTGAAAAGGCCATCGCCAGCAGGGCTCCAACAAAAAAAAAAAAATCAACAAAAAGCACCCCTTGCTGTGCACCGAAATGGCAGTCCACTTTAAAGGCCTGTTAATTTCACGTGGGGGAGTTGAGCAAACAAAGTCGTGGGCGTGGGGATAGAAAAGAACCACGCTCATCGACGTCGCCATCAATCATACCTGCGTGACCGTGTAGGGGGAGTTTTTGCCAGGAAATCCTCGGAAGAAGTCGTCTGTGCCTCGTGTGGCGATAGTCGTCAGGTTTAGAAGCAGGGTGCCTTCCGTGGTGATTACGTCCTTCCCCTCCATACGACCCTAGTCGGCAGTCCGGAGCATCCGAAGCGCCCCCCTCGACGACGGCTACGTCATGCTCCTTCTCTCCTCTCGACCACGGGATTCCAGGGAGGTTCAGGCCGTGCATGGGAATCTTCTCTCGATTCCGCGACCTGCGGTACGCCTCAGCCGTTCATTGTTACCGCTTACCCGATGCTGCCTTTGCTGGCCTGCAACACGCATACCTCGGCGTCATTGGTGAACCTGAGATCATTCAGGAACTGAACGATTAAGGCGAGTTCCGAGCATAGCGCCCCCGAGAGCCTGGAGGACTCACAGGATATGGCTGTAGGGTAAAAGGATGCTGAAGAATGTTATTCTTTTTCTAGCAAGTGAAGGGAAATTGGTGGAAGTTGTTTGTCAGGACCCTGTGTCTCTAGGAGGTCTTAATTAAATTGGGATCCTTAGATATTGGTCCTTAATAGAGGACTTTTATCAGATGGACGTGGAGAATCTCATACTGTATGACTTTAGGCTTTAAAGACTCTAACCAATGTTATTATTTTTCTAGCAGGTGAAGAAAAATTGGTACAATTTGTTCGTCAGGACCCAGTGGCTCTAGGAAGCCCTAATTAAATTATCTTCATCATGAGGAAAATCAGAACTCAATAAAATCCATATCGCATTCAAGAGAAAATTTCTACAGCCCTGAACTCTTCTATCAGAAAACCAGGGCACGATTGATTCGTCCCAAGTGTGGTCGATGAAATTTCTATATGCTTCACCATAATTAAGCCTCCGTCGTTGCGCGAATTAAAATCGAAGTTAAAGGAAAACGCTGGGGTAATAAATCATGCGGTCGTACCGAGTTCAGTTCACGTTTTGCTGTTCGGATGATTCGAATTCCGGAAATTGCGCACTGCTGGACGGATGTCACTATGACGGAAACCGGGAATATTCGACGCGTTGGAGGAGGCGTGGAAACGACAGCGGTTAGGTGGAAGAAATATATTCGACTGCGGAATGTAACTCTGTAACCGCGCTCTGTGGACTTATTAAATTTATGGCACTCAAAAAAAGTATTCGCAGTGAAAAACAAATCGCATTGTTTCTCGCGGCCATAGATGCAGGAGTGTTTAATTAATTACTGTAATAAAATTGTAGGAAACTTGATATCTTAACCCTTTCATTCTCACTGTATTCATGTGGCCATATGTTTGAAATGAAATGTTGCTGCAATTTATATTTTCAGAAGTGGAAATGTGAATTAATTCCTTCTCGTACTTTGTAGAATGTATTTTATACTTTCAATATTTATATTTCAATGACTATATTTTTAAATTTTCTCTAAGACTCACTGTCCATAGTAATTTGATAATAGTCGATGAATATGCGAACATCCATGTCTTTCGATCATGATACGACTACCCAGGTAGACGAATCAATATCATTACATCCTAGGAACTCGGTAACGTCGCGTGCTGCGATACTAATCTGCAAGAATTATCCTCCATATCGTACATTATTAAATCCTCGATTTTTAATCCGTAATCTACGATCTCATTTGCACAGACAGTGTCAATTTATGGAAACTTCGCTCGAGGATTCTTCGACGTATCGCGCCATTCTTATGCAAATGAAGCCAACCATTAGAAGTAAGTAATTTCCACCTCAGAATTCGATCCTCTAAACTATAACAAAATCCCTCGTAAACTCCCCTAAGCAGAGGAACAATTCTCGAAATAGCGAAATGTGTTTCGGTTCATCTATAATGCACACGAAGATTATTTAACTACGGGCTGCGCCAATAAACCCTGGTAATAACTTCAACTAAACCCTTTTCGAACCGTTATCCATTACGGTGAAACACAGGGCAGTGTTCAGCGTCGTTGCGCCGGCTAATCGGATCCTAAGTCGGCTCGCAGACCGAGTGGTTCTCGACGGAATCGCCAACGTTATCGTACATTAGCGTTCGAATTATTTAAGTCTCAAATCAATTGTAGCCTCGAATCATCTTGACTATCGGAATTTTCCAATATTTGAGTCGAACTACCAAAAAACAGAAAATAACAGAATCTAATGGAAGAATTTAGGCAGCCTTTGTACCCAAGTTTCTTTGATAGCAATATTCAATATGAATCTTTTGAGCAAACGTATGTCGAGATTCCATTCTTATTACAAACTCGTTACCTCAATCCTTACACGATGATTCTTGCTTTAACGTACCCGACGCAGCCCTCGAACAAAGAAGACACTGTTTCTCCCGAACAAAGGGTTGGAATATAATTATTGACCAGAGCTTATTAAATTCTGATCCGTTCATGGCGCGCGAGCAAGATGTCTGACAGCGGGTTCCTTTGTTATCATAGCGCTATTGTAACAGCATCGTTGCATGTTGTTCGCGCGTGTGTGTCACGGGTCTGATTAATGGTTGCACGGGAGAGCTAGATACCCCAAACAGGCCAGTCGGGCAATTTGACTGTTTTTGAAAATAGGAAGAAATTTGGGTGAAGCAAGCTCGTGTAGAGATAAATTCTGGTTAAATTCAATGTAAATTTTAAACAATTAAGACTTACCAAGCTTCTTCACTATTTTGTGACAGTTATTAAAATAGAATTAAGATTAATTGTATTAAAAAATTGATTTCAACGAAACAATTCAAGAATGGATTAGGATTTCCATCTCTCATCTTCCCACTGCAAAATAACCCGATATTAATATGCAGCAATTTAAGGATATTCCGTTGGTCTGGCCGCGACCATCAAAGGAGCTTTGACCTAAAAAGGTTGAATTAAGATAATTGGCGCAACGACGGGCGTTCAAAGGTATTATTATAACATATTGACAAAATTCGACCGGAGGCTGGTGGAATTTCATTCAAAGCGAACTCGCGCGGATCCCTCGTAACGCCTCGTAATCAGTCGAAGCATTAACGCTATAATTGGGCGTTAGAACAATAGGACATTATTAAATTGGCTACTGTACGTACTGAATTGAACAACGAATCAACCGTGAAATGCAAAATCTCCCGATCAATTAATTGCATGACACAACAGTCACTCAAAACATAAACATTAGTTTCCCAAATTGAAGCTTTCTCACTATGAAAAAGAATACTTTGATTTGTTTTTGCAGCATTTCAATGGATTCAATTTATATTGAACGCTTTCTTGATCTCCTTTTTATTGCAGCTGTCGTTGGAACAGTTTCGGAATTTTCTGTGTGTGTGTTTAAACGGATTAAATGAAACTTCTCAGAGGGAAGTTTTCATATCACTGTTGCGGTGAAAGTGAATTCTGAAATTAGAATTTTAGTCCTATTAGAAGATGGAAAAAATAGAACTTTTGTATAACATGGACAGTAAAGGAATTTTGACCTTGATTATCAAAACCAATTTTATGAAGCTTATTCTGAGATAGTCTATCTTAGATAGTCGTTGTCAGATCGACCTAATAACGGCTCATTAATAAATTCGAATGATGATTCCATGGCACTCACTATTCGCAAGGCAAGATATCGATACAAAACGGGGATGAGTAGAATTTAAATATAGACACGGCATAAATAACGCCGCTGAAGCAACGAGCTCCAATTTTACTTAACCCAAAATTTCCACTGCAACGCGATTCAAGTGGCTCGCGTGTACGTCTGGTATTAGCATTAGTATACCAGCATTAGAAAGATCATTCGGCGATATATCAAATCAAGTTATCCCCGTAAATCAAACACCAACGCGTAATCACGTTTCCTTATTATGCGAAACATTGTCCATTTATTAGCAGATCGTGTCCTTCTGGAAACGTTAACGTGAATTGAAAGTGCAGAAACCGAGGATTCGATAAAGGGTGGTCGAGGAAAGTCCGTAGCGCAAGTATGACGTCTACTCGATAGAAATGAAATTACGATAAGCGATATCTCGGATCCACAAATATTTAATCCGAGGAGGATTACCCGGGAGCTTAGTCTTGCGAAGAAAGCTGCTCTGGAGCGACCATAAGTACGAGTACCATATAGGTAAGTATTATAATAGTCGTGATCTCGCGTGTTAATCCTTCCTCGCAAGAAATAGCGAGCTAACCAGGCGTGTAATAAGACGTTTAGATACAAGAATAAATGTTACTTTAGATGCCATTCTCCTGTGTCGTACGAATATGACTTTTGGTAAATTAAAAAATATGGTATGCTTCGATGAAACGTTTAACACACGACAACGATTGCGGTTAGACGGGCGCACGAAAATGAATAAGCACGAACGGGCATTATTCATTCTCCCTGCGCCCACTGTAAAGCGATATTTTACGATACGGCTCGCTGATGAAAATGTATGGAGTATGGAAGGTAGAGAAATACAAAATAATTAATCTTTTTGCTGAGTTAAGGTCTTATTGTACAGTGGGATCTGAAAGTGGCATTACCTGTCTTATAAATTGCATTATTTTGTATCATGATTATTGTTCCCTCTTGTACTGTTGCGTAAACAGTATCTATACTATTTAAATTTGCACTTAAAACATTCCGCTATAAAATATTATTCAAAATTATGTTAAATTACAGATCTTTTAAGGGAGAAAATATTATCCTGTAGCGTTATATTTCATGTTTGTTTGATTCTTTAGTTTGTAAGGGTACGTAATCTCTTACAACGACGATTGTTGCACCTTCTGATCTATTACAATTTAATGCCACATTTATTCCTCGAATACAGGCGCACTATCTCCAAACGTTTCCGTGTGCACGTGCCCATCCGGTTAGCCCTTTTAAAAGTAAGTTATAAACAGCAATCTCGCCGTCTGATCCCATCTGGAGACGCTCACGGTAACCGAACTTTCCCAAGCTTAGTGGACGTATACCAGGAACGGTTCAACGTTAGTCAGAACTGCTTAGCGTGTCGCTGTAACACGAGTTCCTCTTATTTCAACGGTGGCACGTAATGCAGCCTTCGCGTGCATTTCCATCGATCGGCCCGAATATCGCCGAAGTAATCTGCCGAGCGTCGGGAATAAAGGAACGGAACAACCGAGAGACGTTACCGCGGCTCTCGAATTCGCGCCTTTCGCGAAACGTTTGAGCACGTGTTCCAACTTAAATGCTGAAGCCACGATCACGTTTCATTCTTCAATGCAATTTTCCTCTGGAGCATTGATTATACGAGCATTTGGGTCGTTAGAGTTTGTTTAACATGATATCTTGATCATTTGGTGCCTTTAATTTAATTGCAGTTGCACCTAAT